TTTGAGGTACTTATTCTTTTGACATCACAGTGCCACACTTCTCCTGTAAAACCAAAACACATAGATAATCATGTACTTAAAGTAAATATATAAAACTATTAATATCTCAAATAAAGTATATATTTACCTTCAGACTCTAGAGTATGAGCCATTTCGTTTTAATCTTTTATTTTTAGGAGAATCCAGGGGGTTACCTGGCGGGAGGACCCGATTTTATTAATTTAAATAAAAGAGATACACAAGGCAGTGCTAAAGACTTACCCAACTTAAAAAGAAATCGTCTCCCAAAAGTTTTTCTGAAAACTCCATGACGATTCCTGAGCAGACTATAGCTATGAACTGTCTTACATAGATTATGCAAATATTCTCCTGACAGTTCAACTATGAAGTACAATTTACCACTATGAACTGATTTACAAAGATTTAGCATAATCCCTTATCAATTCAAAAATTAAAACTAAGGTAAAAAAACTAGGAAAACATAAAAAAAAAAAACATTATCTGATTCGCAGGTATGGGAAGGATCTTTGGTCTAGCAATATTAAACTACGAATTCATAGGTGGCATTACCAAAAAAAGCCATAGTTTATATGCAAACCATTTGATCCCATCTTAGCCAGTATATCAAGTACAGTATTGATCTCTCGGAAAACGTGATTTATTTGGTAGCTTCTCCGCTTGAGAATTCTAGATATCTTTGATAAATTATTATGAAATTTCCATGGAAAAATTGTATCTCTGAGAAGAAGATCAACGATCACTTTACTATCTGATTGCACTAGGACGTTTGAGAGACCTTGCATTTCACAATACTTGAGTCCTTCTAAAATCCCTTGAAGTTCAGCCTTGAAACTGAAATCTTGGCCTAAATAATCACATTGCGGATGAATCATTCTTCTGTGCTCACCTCAAATCACGTAGCTCCATCCTGCTTCACCCGGGATCAGGATCAGGCGGTCGCCATGAAACCATTTTGATTGTTTTGGATTTTGGAAGTGAACCCTAACTTGGAAAGCTTTTTCAAGCTGTTGTTGCTCCAATCTTGATCCAGCTCTCAAATTGTGAACTCTCAGCAAACCTGAAACATTAGTTTTAATAGCAAACACAATAGAATGAAACTGAAATTTCTTACCTTCGAATATATATGAGTTACTTGCTTTCCATAATTCCCAAAGAATAAAAGCTAGGAGTGCCATAATTATGGATTTTCTTGCTGTCGAAAAACTCCCCATAGATAACCAAGCTTGGATAGAAGCCCAATAATTATCCAGCGCTGGCAAATGCAGATTCATTTCATTTGCAAAAAAAATTCCACACCCTTGTCGCGGATGGACAACCCCAAAACAAGTGATCAAATTCTTCTTCATGCTCGAAACAAAACGGGCAGCGAGATGGCCTTGCATAGATGCCAAATTTGAGGACTATGTCGGATATTGGTAACAAGCGATTGAAGAACCTCCAACAGAAGAAAGAGATACGAGCGGGAATCCCTTTGTTCCATAAGGATTTAATCCAGAAATTGCCAATTTGTTTGTCCCGAAAAGTATGGTATGCCGGCGCGATTGAGAAATCTCCCATTTGTGAAGGCGTCCAGATGAATGTATCCTTTTCACGTGTGAATCTGATTGAAGAAGAGTGGATGTTCAGGAAAGCGATTTGTGCATCGATTAGCCAGTTAGCAATGTTCGGCAGAATGGATTGATGATTCTCAAAGAAATCTTTGACCGAGAGATTTGATAATGGTGGCCGGGACTGCTGATTCAAATCACATAGAACACCAAGTTCAGACCATTTATCAAACCAAAATAAAACCATACCTTGTCCCAAACGGATCTTGATATGCAATGAAGCTTAGCCGTCAATTTTGATTATTCGGCGCCAACTGGTAGTTCGGTTCCTTGACGTTACTGATAGAGATGCCATGAATTTGGCCCATATTCCGGATTGATTTTTGTATTTCCACCACAGCTTTTCCACAAAAGCTTCAATGACATCATGAAAATTACGAACTCCAATTCCGTTTTCTTCTATCGAAAAAGCCAAACGCTTCCAGGAGCTCTAATGTTTTTTCGAACCTTGATCCGTTTCCCCCCATAAGAAGTTTTGGCTCCTTGATTCTAAAGCCTGAATGATGAATTTTGGCGGTTCAATGGCAGCAAAAGTGTGGATTGGGATTGAGGAAAAAACGTGCTTAATCAGTATCAAACGTCCGCCGCTTGATAAGAATTTGTTGCACAAATTACATAACTTTGCATCCATGGAGTCAAGTAGATACTGAAAATGGCAGCCCACTTTTCTCCTTTTGAAAATTATGGCACCTAAGTACCTCATGGGTGCTTCGGCCAAAAAACTTTCTAAAAAAAGATGTGGATAAAAATATTTTTTTTTCTATTTTTAATGGACAAAACTTGTTGTCTCGGATTTGCCAACTCCGAATTTATCTATTTTGTATCCAATAGAATTTATTCATCACATAGTTGTAATACAAGAAGATACAAAATGGATAGATTCGGATTTGGCAAATCCGAGACAATTAGATTTGTTCACACCATTCTGAGACAAATATTTTTATCCAGGTTCTTCCATTGAAAATTATTTGGGTAAAAAACTCTATAGGAAAAGTGCCTCTTTGCATTCCAAGAATCCTTTGAGCCCGTTCCACTTGATCAACATTTGCTCCTTCTGAAACTAAAAAATCACTTTTTTGTCTATTGATTTTTTGGCCCGTAGCCAACTCATAGGTCTGAAAAAATTCATTCAGCGCCTCAAGTGATCTTTTTGAGCGTTTTGTATAAATAATCAAATCATCCACATAGCTCAAATGAGATATTGGTAAAGTTCTCGCTGGCACCTCATAGCGAGCAACTCTTCCCGAATTATTGAGGAACTTCAACCTTCTAGTCAATGCTTCAAATACTAGTATAAAAAGATATGGTGACAAAGGGTCACCCTGTTTAATTCCCCTTGTAGCTTGAAAAAATCTCGTTGGACTTCCATTGATCAACATTGAAAACCAGCTCCCGCTTAGATTGTTCATAATGAGATTGATAAAATGATAATGGAATCCAAAAGCCGCTAAAGTAGCTTTGAGAAAACTCTAAGATACTCGGTCGAATGTTTTCATCATATCAATTTTCAAAATGATATTCCCTCCAAAAGTTTTATTGTTCAGAAACTGTACCAAGTCTTGAGTGAGGAAGATATTGTCCATAATATCTCGTCCAGCAAGAAATGTCAATTGTTCCTCCAAAATAATCTTACCAAGTAAAGGTTTGAGCCTATCCGTCAAGATCTTGGTAAAGACTTAATTAACAAAATTGCACAAACTTACAAGATGATAGTCCGCAAAGTTTGTCACTAAGACCTTTTTGGGGATTAGGGTAATGAGAGTACTCCCTATAGCTCGTGGAAGTGGCGATCCACTGAAATAATCCAAACAGGCTGATAGTAGATTATTCCTTATGATTTCCCAGCATTGAGTGTAGAAGAATCCAGCGAAACCATCAACTTCCGGAGCGCTCGAAAGATCAAGATCAAAAACTGCCGTTTTAAGCTCATCCATAGTTATGCTGCAATAGAATTCTTGTGCCTCGTCTCTACCATCCGGAATATCATCTGACAATAAGTTCCGAAAGAAATCCACCGCTTCTTTTTCTATTGCCGAAACATCAGATAACCACTCTCCTCTAGCCGATTGAATTTTATAAATACCTTGGCTTGCTTGCTTCTCTTTTAAAGTCGCATGAAAAAAGACCGTGTTAGCATCGCCTTCCTTGAGCCATGTTAACTTCATTTTTTGGCGCATAAAATCATCGTGTTCCCGCAATTTGTAGAGGAGTTCGGCTTTGGCTTCCTGTAAGCAAGATTTATCAGCTGGATCAGAAGAGTTTTCATAGATTAATTCCTTCTGCTGCACGTCCTCCTCAGCTTCACGCAAGTTCTGGAATACATCTCCAAACACTATCCTGTTCCAATCTTTTAGCTGCAATTTTAAACGTCGCAGTTTAAAAGTGAAAGCTGGCATGCCGTATAACCCGGTGTCTTGCTCCCAATTCGTGCGAACCATATCGAAGAATTCTGGCCGGCGTAGCCACATATTCAGAAACTTGAAAGGTTTCGGTTTAGTCTCCAAATCAAGGCTGAACTGATAGAATAACGGGCTATGATCTGATTGTACCCGGTTGAGATGCTGGACTGTAGACTTTGGAAACTTTGACAACCATTCAGAAGAGAAGAGAATGCGGTCCAATTTTTGGAGCACTCGACCATTAACTTCCAAGTGAAATCAGACCCTATGGTTTGGAGTTCTGCCAAATTGCAATCCTAACGAGTTGAAATCATCTATAGAGGAGCGTTTTGGTTCTGAATTCCCTTCATACTCTTCCATGGACCGTATGATATTGAAATCACCCCCGATCATTCAAGGTTGAGCTGTATGATTGTTATAAAAATCTTGCAATTCAGACCATAATTCCTGTCGACCATTCCTTGTGGACTTAGCGTAGACAGCAGAGATTAAGATCCGTTCCAACAGATTTGGTATTGACGCCTCAATGTGAAGTACTTGATCCAAGCCTCCTAGCAAAACAGGAGCAAAAACAGAAGAACAGAAAAAACAAACTTTGTTCCAATTCAGACACAAAGCAATTTCAAAATTAAATAACCGTCTAAATTCTTCTAACCTAGAGTTATCTACCATAGGTTCTAAAAGGAATAAAAGTTTAATTGCATGCATATTGATTAGATTTTTAAGCCTAATCTGTGTTGCTTTGTTAGAAATACCATGCACATTCCATATAAGGCAGCTATTAATTTAAACAATTGGATTGGAATCACCTTGGAGTCTCGTCGAACGACGAGTTTCAGTTCCCCGCTGAAGTGCAACCTTTCTAGATCCTCTAGGCCGCCCGCGTTTCTTTTGATCTTGTTCACCGTCAGAAACAGAACCACGATGGACAAGCCTGCTTTCATCAAAATCAGTTTGAGAGCCAATAGAAGTATCATCGCAAACTTGATGCTCTAGAAGTGTTCCTGTTACAAGATTTTTTTTTTTCCAGATTTTCCAACTCAATCTCTGCCACTTCATCGTCTTCTTCATTTTTGTTTTCATTATTAGCGCCAAGATCATTAATTGGCTCATCATTCCCAGTCAGTTCTGCGAGAACATCAAAACTGTCCGATAATTTCAGCGGTGAATTACGATTTTCTGTTTGGATGGAGACAACATGCTGTTTAGAAACAGCATGCTGTTTTGAATTTTCTTCCTGGACTGTAACATGATCCACATCTCCATTTTTCCAAGATTCCACCGGATTGAGCTTTTTTGAACTCTTCTCTAAGATTGCACTGAGATGTTCCTTTGATATCCTCCTCTGTGTTAAGCTTGTATTCTGAGGATTCGGGCTGAGGCTTTCCACATCAATCGGTATTGTTTGCTTTTCTTTCAGAGTTAGACCCGAAGATGATGGTTCATTCCCCGTCTGGATTACCTTTTCTAAGATTGTAATTGGAGTTTCCTTTTGTTTCCAATTTCCATTACCTGATTGCCCCGTTGGCTTATTTGGTACCTTGTTTCCTGTTTTCTTCGTTTCCATTACCTTTTCTGTTTTCTTTGATATAGCTTCTGCCTTAGTGAACGCTTTGCTGTGGCGACAAGTCTTTGCCGAGTGACCAATCATGCTGCATTCGACACAATATTCCGGCAAATTTTCATATGTAATTATCTGAAAATATGAGCTTTCTTCAATCCCCAACCGGATGCATTTTGGTAAGTCTTGCAATAGATCTACTTTCACGCAAACGCGCGCTATCGATGGCCTGGATAAATTAAGGGTAGGCACATCAATTTTCAAGGGCTTGCTGATGATGCTGGAAATCTTTCTCAAGTATTCTTTATTAAATCTGTGCACCGGCAAACCTTCAAAAGCTATCCAAACTGGCACAATTGACGATTCTTATTCCGGATTGAAATCCGGCGTCCATTTTAAAACCCTCATTAGATGAGAGTCGAAGGACCAAAAGCCTTTCATCCAACAACGTTGGAACTCTTCTTCTAAATCAAAACCGATTAAAATATGTCTATGATCGATCATACCAATAGAGAAATTACCTTTGAATCCAATAGTATGAAAACTTTGCCACAAAAACTCCATCTTTGGCCGTCCATTTGAAAATTTTCCAACCAGTGATAATTTGAACGGTGCAGCTAGTTTAGCATCTTCCTCGCGTGTAAGCAAGAAGGCAGGTTCTCCCTTATAAATTGAGGGTTCCGATCTGATGGAAGATGACCCGTTTGCTGATAATTCTGGAGTAGTAGTAGTATTTGGCTTCGATCCATTGATTATTTGAGCGAAAGAGGGCTTAGGAATCGATAATTTTTGTCGGCTTTCATCCGGCAGTCGGCTAGCCGCCATTGCAAAAAGAGAAACGGATAGGGTTTTTGGACAAAACCTAGAGAGAAGCAAGAGAAATTATTTTAGAGAGAGAAAAATGCTATATTACATATATCACTCCGTCAAAATTTTCGTTTTAGTCTATCTACCTCCTTTAGATCGAGATTGATTCATAACTATTTTTTTAGCTAAACCCATTGCAATTCTATAATAGCACGGTGCAAAACATACTAAAATAAGACCCTCGTAATTGTTTAAAAATAAAACCATCAATACTCATAAATACTTGTCAATGACATACAACAGAAATAATCCTTAACATGGAAAATATAATGCATGTTTTAAAAATGATGCCTCCCCTCTAGAAAAGAAAAGCTATGTCAGTAGTACCAAAATTTTCCTTATAATGTCGAAGTTTAGAATGTAAGATACAATGATAAGTTAACAGTTCAAATTTTGATGAATCTTTTGCAATTAAGGACCATATTTTCCATTATTAATCATAAATCAGATGAAAGGTCGTTCACAAGTATCCATACTAGAATAAGCTAACGAACATTCTTCAACACAAGCAAAATTAAGAAATCAAGTGAAATTATAACAATCATTCTAAACACTGAGTTAATAATATTAAAGTACAAGTTACCGTGTCAATTGAAACCCATCATACTCCCTTTCGACCAACAAATGAAAAATATCCATCTAGAATTACAACTCAACAAAGAGATATACCAATGTATATCTTTCAGACAAAAAAAGAAGATTCTGATCGAAGGGGAAGAGGGAGGGGGGAAGAGATAGAGGACGAAAGGGAAGGGAAGAAGAGGAGAAAAGCAGAACATAACCTCTTTATTTTTTTTAGTGACTAATCTTTTTTATTTTTGAAAAATATATCAAATAGAATTATGTGAAATAAATATTAACCTACGTTTAACGTATTCAGATCTGGTTGTAAATTGTATTGTAAGAAAAATTATTTAATACTTATCTCTTTTTATTTTCGGTTATTAACCCAACTCTTTTTTTTTTTTTTTGAAAAATACATTAAATGGAATCATCTTAAAAGAATAATACTAACCAATATTTAATGTGCCCGGACTTAGTTTCAAGTTATATTCGTAACATAATAATTTGATAACTAATATTTTTTTTATTTAATTTTTGAAAAATATATCAAATGAAATCACCTGAGAAATAATATTAACCTACGTTTAATGTATCTGAATTTGGTTTCGAATTATATTCATAATATAATATTTTATAACTAATCTCTTTTTACTTTTAAAAAATATCTCAAATGGAATCATGAAAAATAATGTTAATCCAAGTTTAATGGATATAGATTTGGTCCCAATTGTATACGTACGTAGTATAATCATTTGCTAACTAATCTCTTTTTAATTTTTGTAATTAAGCTCTTTTTATTTTTGGAAAATATATCAAATGAAATTATTTAAAAAATAATATTAGCATACATATAATGTATCTAAACTTGATTTCAAATTATATTTGTAATATAATGATTTGGTAACTAATCTTTATATTTTTGATAACTATTTTTTTTTTGAAAAATATATCAAATGGAATCATTTAAAACAATACTAATGTACATTTAATTTATCTAAACTTAGTTTTGAATTGTATTCGTAATATAATGATTCGGTAACTAATCTCTTTATTTGTGTAATTAATCTCTTTTTATTTTTGGAAATATCAAATAAAATGTTTTGAGAAATAATATTAATCAACATTTAATGAATCAAGACTTGTTTTCAAATTGTATTCATAATATAATTATTTGTAACTAATCTCCTTTTATTTTTTTTAAATTAATCTCTTTTTATTTTTTTAAAAATATATTAAATGAAATCATATGTAAAATAATATTAACCTATCTTGCATGTATACAAACTTGGTTTCGAATTGTATTTGTAGTATAATTATTTAGTAACTAATATCTTTTTATTTTTGAAAAATATATCAAATGGAATAATCTGAAAAATAATATGAACATATGTTGAATTTATCTAGACTTAGTTTTGTATTATATTCGTAGTATAATTATTTGGTAAAAAAAAATATTTTTTTATTGGTAACTAATCTATTTTTATTTTCGGAAAATATATCAATTGTAATCATCAGAAAAATATTATCAACTTATGTTTGATGTATCCAGATTTAGTTTTGAATTGTACTCGTATAATTAATTGGTAAAAATAATCTCTTCGTTTCGGTAAGTATTCTCTTTTTATTTATGGAAAATACCAATCATCTAATAAATAATATTAACATAATTGTAATGTAGGTAAACTTGGTTTTCGAATTGTATTCATAATATAGTTATTTGGTAACAAATTTTTTTTGGTAATTAATATCTTTTAATTTTTGGAAAATATATCAAACAGAATCATCTGAAAAATAATATTAACTTATGTTTAATGTATCCAGACTTAGTTTTAAACTGTATTCTTAATACAATTATTAATTTGATGATTAATATTTCATTATATCATATATTTGTCAATAATTACCAAAGACGTGTTTATTTTTCTGAAATTAACTATTGGTTAATTAATTAATTCAATTTAACAATTTTATATATTAGCAACAAACTTTTAACTGTTTAATGAAGGATAATTTTGGTGACAACACGTGACACAATTGGTTAAACTTGCTCTCTGGGCGACACGTGTCGATTAAGAACTCTGCTTTAATATATACTAGTGTTTATCCCGCACGTTGTGCGGGTTGTTCATGATATATAAATGTTTAATGATTTAAGGATTATATAACATTTCCGATAAAGTGATACTAATATAATAATATAAATTGTGATTGCGTAATTTTTCATGTTAATGCGTTCTATTATTTTAATTAAATTTGAAATAATGTTTTATATTCAAAAACATCCAATGTAACTTACTGTCTATCTTTTTCATTTTTCTGATTTATAACTTTATATCTTTTATTAAAAGTATTCTCTTAATTTTTCATAATGATCATCTATAAATACGTCTACCCGTATCATATTTTTTAAACTCCTCCTTTAACAGAAAATTTTTTACCCGTGTCAATGTAACTTGAATGCAGTTACAACTGGACGCACAACTTCTCCTTCAGGCTATGAAATTTCTTCCCCACGATTCAACTTAATGCTGTTTATTTAGGCTTGTAATTAATTTCTAGTTGAAGATTCTTTTAATTTTGGTATTGTATAGCTTTTTGGGGTGATTTTCTTTCTTCTTCTTTTTTTTGTATAATTTGTTTCATCCTCACAATTACCAATTGATCTAGATAATTTGATGACTATTTAGGACCCAATTTAACAAATCATAAGTCATAAATTATTGTGATCATGACAATTATTTAGAGAAGAATGTATTGCAATTGGATTATTTGAACATCCAATCCCACGGGTACGTAATCCCGTACATATATTTGATCATGTACATCAATTCCATGGATAAAACTAAATTAGTTGAGAGACTTCTCAAAAACTATATTACTTGGACTAATATATTAAAAAAAAAAAGAAGCAGATTATTAAACCTTTTATTTCATTACGGAGGACAACGTCTTGAAAGCCATTTTTTTTAAAAAAAATAAAATTTTAGGCCTGGTTTACAAAATTATATTTTCATAGTCACCCATATGTTATATGTATCATTGAAAGTGTTGAAATTATTCCATTATCTATTATTCGAATAAATTAATTTGAAAGTCGATGGATCAAAAGATAATTTTTGAGCTTTTAATTAAAAAAATTAAACTGCGTAAAATTTATAATTTATAGATTTTATGGATTCACAAATAAAAAATTAATTATCATGTTAAATTTTTGATTAGGAGATAAGTATTTATAGATAGAGTCTTTCTTAGAGAAGAAGTATTTCTAATTTATTAGAATTACAATTTATGATTAAACGTGCTTGTGAATAAATTACATTAATTAATAAGATTAACTTAATACTATGAGATAACAAAAATTTTCGTGCATAGTCTTTCTTATATTACCATGTTATCGTTTTATGTGCTTGTGTTTTGTATGCGTGCTTGTGAATAAATTATCTTCTTAATGATTGTTTTGGTTTTCCATTTTTGTTCTTTTAGTTAATTTATTGTTACCTATAAATTTACCATTTTACATTACAAATTTACCATTAAATGATGGAGTGATGAGATTGTGACATGTGGACTTGGCTCGTTAATTTACCACCACGTGGATTAGCCTATCTAGTTTTACACCATGTGTCCGATTGAAAACTCTCCCTTAATATATACTGGTGTTTATCCGGCACGTTTTGCAGGTTGTTCAAGATATCCATAAATTGAATGATCTAATGATTATTTCACATTTCTGACGAAGTGATATTTATAAATAATATTAATGATATAAATAAAAATTGCGTGATTTTTAATGTCAATGTGTTTTGTTGTTTTAAGTACATTTGGAATAATTTTCAATATTCTAAATCATCTAATTTATTATCCATCTTTTTCATTTTGTTGATTTATGGTTTTATATGATTAAAATGTATTCTCTTAATTTTTCATAATGATATTTATAAATATTTCTCCTCGTGTTATATATTTTAAATTCTCCCTCAAAAAGAGGTTCTCATGTTATATTTCCATAAAATTATCTATTTTTTCATCTTTCTATATATACTTTTTACAACTTATTTTTGAAAGTATGTTCGTATATTTTTCCTATAATATAATTTTTACTTTTTTTAGTTATATAGTCTTGATTTTTTTTTTAAAAAAAAAAATTGATTACCTCTCTTTAAAACTTAATTTCTTGATATACCAATTATCTCATTTTTCACTGTTATTTATCTCTAAAGCTTAATTATTCTTTTTTTCTTAATCTTTACATAATTCTTTCCTCCATATAATTGTTTCACATTTCTTAATATAATTTTCTTCTACTGTTTGTCTTTCACAAAGACATTTATTCTTTTTCTCTTTTTGAAAAACTTTCTTCGTATTGATTTCCATGTTATGTTTTATTATCATAACGTTAACTTTTTTCTACATTATATCATATAAAAAATGTAATGAATATGTTATATTAATTTATTAGTAATCATTTACTATACTAATATTATTTTATAATATATAATAATATATTATTATTTTATTAAAATTTTGGCTAATTAAAATATATTTTTATCATTATTATTATTGTTATTTTACTTTTTTCTTGTAATTTTTTCACAAAGTAATCAACAGTAATGATGCCCGTTAAGGGGCGAAAATTATATCATCAAGAAAAACATTTACAATCAAAGCACCACTAGCTGAAACAACATAACTATAATATCATAAAAGAATAACGTTCTGATGATAAAACAAAATGTATAAATCGATAGGGAATTCCAAAATGAGAAAATAAAAAAGAATAAAGGTCTTTCTAATAGAGAAACAATAGAAGCAAATCATATTGAGAAATTAAAAATAATTATATGAAGGAAAAAATTATATAGAGAACAAGAAAATATAAGAAAAGAACCGAGATAATAGTGAAAAATAAAATAATTATTTCAATTTTTTTAATGAATGGCTTTAAAAAGAGGTTATCAAATTTAGAAAAGAAATAAAAGACGAAGACTATGAAACTAAGAAAAAATTAATCAAGTAAACACTATATTATAGCAAAAATATACGAACAAACTTCTAAAAAACGATTACAAAAAGTATATAGAGATGGAAAATAAAGAGGTTTATTGAAAGAAATAGTGAGAAAATTTTCTGAGAGAGAGATCACTATGAAAAATTTAAAAAATATTTTTAAAAAAACACATTGGTATTAAAAGTTACATAATTACAATTTATATCACTAATATTATTTTTTTCACATGTATCACTCCAGCAGAAACGTTATATAATTGTTAAATCATTAAACTTATATATATCTTGAACAACACGCACAACGTGCGGGATAAACACTAATATATATAGAGAGATATAGAGATATAAATTAAAAAAAAAACACTGAGCAATAAAAATATATTGTGAGAGATAAATATAGGCTCCTTAAATTTGTTGGAACCAAGGCTGTTCTTTTGCATAAAACCGTCCCGAACCGAACTCGAACCGAATCGTTAGTTTGGATTGGTTCTGAATTGGAGTAACTTTCTTAAGGATCACTATGATCCGGTTCGGATCGATTTGGGTTAAATTTCGAGTTGAACCGAATTGACTCGAAAAAAACCGATTGCTAGAAAAATCGATTTTCCGGCAATATTACCAGAATTTTTGACCGAAAAAAATTAATTTACTGGCGACGTCGCCGGAATTTTTGGCCAAAAGTTGTTGCCGACGACGGTCGGTGATGGTCAACTTCGGAAACTATTGAAATTTATTATTATTATTTTTTATTTAAATTAATTCGGTTCAATTTGGATATTTACTTAACCTGAATCGATCCGAATCAATTCACTCTTTCAAATAATTGATCCGAATTGAACCGAACAGAAACTAAATTTTTGAATTGATTTCGAGTCGGTTTGGTCGGATCATCGGTTCGACCCGAACCGTGGGTCAAAATGAATGACCAGCCCTACTTGGAACTGCAGTCGTAACGAGTAAGGCAAACGGCAAACCGAAATCTTTAATGCCATAGCCTTTTTCCCAGTTTTCACAACTAAAGCCCGACGAGATCGTTTAAAAGCCCCAAAATTAATTAAAATCATTCCCACTTCCTGCCACAGACCCCCCACACAAAGGCCAAACACTCCTCCGAGCTCACTCTGGATCAAATCCAACCTCTCGTCGGCAAATTCCACCGGCAAAATTTCCCAGTGATTCCGAGGTACAATATCTATCCATTCGATCTGATTCCGTGTCTGTATCCATTGATTTTTTTCTCTTCATCTGCACTCTGTATGTTGTATTCCGCACTGAATCCATTTATTCCCCGCCAGATCTGAGTCGTTTCGCAATGGCTCAGCCTCTTGTGAAGAAGGATGATGATCGCGATGATGAAAGTACGTCCTCACTTGTTCTCCTTTCGTTTAATTTGTTGTAGTTTCAAATTTGCTTGTGAGATCTGCATTTTCCCGCAATTTACGTTTGTACTACTAGTCAAAGGAATTTGCAAATCCGTTCGAATTTTGCACCTCATTGTGTTTCCTTTGAGATTTGGTCTGAAGTTGGGGTTGACTGCACTAAGTAATCATCGAATCGTGTTCCAATTGCAGTGGATTTCTCTCCCTTTTATGGGATCGAAAAAGGTGCAGTCCTACAGGAAGCTAGGGTTTTCAATGATCCCCAATTGGATCCTAGAAGATGTTCACAGGTTATTTCCTTTCTGTTGTTGCATCTTGCTCGACATATTTTTTTTTCCCTTCGCTACTTCTTTTAATATATCCCCTTGGTTTTGTGAATTTTGACACTTCACTGTGGTTTGTTTGCTTGTGTAGGTTATTACAAAGCTTCTATACCTGCTGAATCAGGGGGAGAGCTTTACAAAGGTTAATCTGAAAACTAATTATTATCATATATTAGCCAATGCTACATGATCTCTGCTGTATTTGCCTTTAAATGGGTTCCTTTTAGCATCTGCTTATATATGTGATTTTAAATATAAGATGTAATACGAGTTTTGTTTCAGTAGGTCAGAATTATTCTGTAGATTCTTAATATTAAAGATAATGCCGCATTGGCGAGAGTTCTTTGGGAAAATTGTCCTTTGTCCCTTTTTTTAGGATGCACGTGATCAATTGAAATCATTGTTTACTTTGAATTTGCAGGTCGAAGCTACTGAGGTATTCTTTGCTGTTACAAAGCTCTTTCAATCCAAGGATGTTGGTTTGAGAAGAATGGTTTACTTGATGATAAAGGATTTGTCTCCATCTGCTGATGAGGTCTGGAGCATTCTGATTTACAGTTGCTTAGCCTTCACTTTTATTTTTTTCTTTTTTGCTGCTGTAAAACTAGAAATTGACATGATATCTTTTGCAAATGTAAGGTTATTATCGTCACCAGCTCTCTGATGAAGGATATGAATAGTAGAACTGACATGTATAGGGCGAATGCGATCCGTGTCCTCTGCCGTATTACTGATGGGACGCTGCTCACACAAATTGAGAGATACCTGAAACAGGCTATTGTTGATAAAAACCCGGTTGTTGCTAGTGCCGCCCTTGTTAGTGGAATCCATTTGCTGCAGGTACATTAAACTGTTTTGTGATTGGCCAATTGTCTTTACTCTTTTCAGTTTTACTTGACCTTTTTATAATTAATTGTATGACAGACGAATCCTGAGATTGTAAAAAGATGGAGCAATGAGGTGCAAGAAGCTGTGCAATCTAGGGCTGCGTTGGTGCAGTTCCATGCTCTGGGGTTGCTTCATCAGGTATCATTTGTGATTGGACCCGGATAATGAGAATTTCTGTTCATTTAACTTTTCTGAAGAAGTAACTTTCACAAGCTCATTGTTCTTGGGCTCCCATTAAAATCTTATGTGTGTCCCAACTATCTGTTCATCCAGTTGTTTGGTTAAGGAATAATTGATTTGTCATCCTACCTAGCTATGAATCTGGACTCTTGTATATGGAACTGAAAATTAAAGATGAAGGTGCTTTAATAAGTATAAAAGAATTGCCTTCCATTACAATTTGTATGGATACTGATGTCCTTGCCCTCTTCCTTTGTCAAGGCTCTGGAAATATGCTCGAGTAAATTTTGTATTAAAATCTGATTATGGCGTATTCTGTTTTAGCATGTCAGATCCCTTCATATACTCTCTTCACAAGGATTACTTTATGTATATATCTTTAGGTTTATCCATGTGGGCCCGTGACTTGTTTTTGCCTATCCAAGTGTTTTCTTCATATGTGGCCTAATATCTTTGTGTATCTTGTAGTACTTTTTTGTTAATTGCATGTAGTAGGCATGCCTATAAAAACCTAGTTTAAGCAAAAAATAAAAAATAAAAAAAAAAGTTGCACCGCAGGTCTAAGGTTTTATGCAATTATTAGTTCTTTACAGTGGCATCTTTGTCTTAATGGTTAAATAATATGTTATCTTGATTGTGCAAACCTTTTTAGAAACTACTTGTGGACTGAAAGATCTTTAATATATATGTTATGTTTGCATGATTTGTTGCAATTGTAGATACGGCAAAATGATCGTCTAGCTGTTAGCAAGCTAGTCACCAGCTTGACAAGGGGATCTGTCCGTTCACCTCTGGCTCAGTGCCTTTTAATTCGCTATACTAGCCAGGCAAGTTTCTTTCTTGAGAAAGCTGATTTTCCTCTAGTGTGTGTCTTGGTTGCAGTCTTGATTAATGATTGGGTTGTTTTTGGTATTTTTAGGTAATTCGAGAGTCTGGCATGAATAATCAGACCGGGGAGCGACCATTCTATGATTACCTCGACGGTTGCTTGCGTCACAAAGCAGAAATGGTTATTTTTGAAGCTGCCAGGGCAATCACAGAGTTGAATGGTGTCACAGCTCGAGAACTAACTCCTGCTATAACTGTTCTACAGCTATTTTTGAGTTCTTCAAAACCTGTACTTCGGTTTGCTGCTGTCCGTACTCTGAATAAGGTTAGCTTTTGTCTGAAATCTAGCTGGAAAATTTTTGCTTCCTTTTGATACTCCTGCATTTGGTATATAATATTGTGCGTTATTAGACTCCTTTGGATTTGGAAGTTCGTCTATAACTTTAAACTTCATTTGTCAATGTGATTTTTGTGTTCTTTTCTTAAGAAATTAAACATGAACTTAAGCCAATGATTTCTGGGGTAGGAAATATAATGAAGAACTTGTGCAACAGTTTTGTTCAAGTTTACACTACTTGATTATTGTAGGTCCTGTTTGGTCTATGTTCTATGGTCTAAATGGTATAGTCTTGACAGGTGTTTGGGTGTCTATTTTGCAAAACATGTCTTGGAAAAGGTATTGCAATTATTTTTAAAGAATATATTTTTAGTTTAAATAAGAATCTAGCCGCCACTCCGGTAGTGGTGGTGGGAGGGTTAGATGGATGGATAAGAAACACGTCTTTGCTTGATGTTATCCAAACATGGTCTGGGAGGCAAGACATATAAAAGCACCAGAATATGCTTTGGGATCACAGATCAGACAGGGCTGTGAACGTAATTATCTTTGCCAATTGTAAATTATTATTTTGGAGATTTCTCTTTTTTCTGCACTTGTGTAACCCTTAGATATTGAGTTGGGTGCTTTTGGAAGAGATTTGGGCGGGTAGTTTCATTTAGGGGTGCTTCAACAATTCAGATCAACTAGGTTCTTCTGTCACTTCCTTATCAATTGGAAAGCAAATTAGCTAACATATACTAGAACACTAATGTTTGGTGGTCTTTAGTTTTGTTAGTGACAGTAATGATATGATCAACTGAACATTACTGACTGCCTTTTGTCCTGAATGGCGTTTACTTTTGAGGTTCTTACTGATTTATCTATTTTCTGGATCTAATTGCTTGAGTAAAACACTGTTGGTTGTTCCTTTGTTTTCTGAGGTTCTTTTCTATTTGCTGAGGTTCTTACTGATTCCTCTTTTCTATTACGTTACGTTCCATTGTTTGCTCTCTCACTTTTACATGGCTGAATGTTTGAGTGCGACACCATGATCATGTTATCTACTTCAACTTTATGCAGGTAGCAATGACTCATCCATTAGCTGTGACAAATTGCAACATAGATATGGAGAGCTTGATTTCTGACCAAAACAGGAGCATAGCCACTCTTGCCATTACCACTTTACTGAAAACAGGGAATGAATCCAGTGTTGATCGCTTGATGAAGCAAATCACAAATTTCATGTCTGACATTGCTGATGAATTCAAAATTGTTGTGGTAGAGGCCATAAGATCACTGTGTTTGAAGTTCCCTCTCAAGTATAGATCTCTGTAAGTGGTTTTTAAGTCTCTGCCCATATTTGGGGAGTGATATTCTTGGTTTCTCTTTTTTTTTTTCTGGATTTTATGCATTTAGCTACAATATTTTTCTTACCCCCTGATATATCTTGTTCCTTTTTGTTTATTGTTTCTAAGACATTTCTTTTTACCATCCTTCTTCCAGGATGAACTTTTTAAGCAACATTTTGAGGGAAGAAGGTGGTTTTGATTACAAAAAGGCCATTGTTGACTCAATCGTGATTCTCATTAGAGATATTCCCGATGCTAAAGAAAGTGGTCTACTGCACTTGTGTGAATTTATTGAAGATTGTGAATTTACATATCTTTCTACCCAGGTCTGAAGCTTCTTATAAGCAGTATTCATCTTGCACTTGGAAATTATTGTGCAACTTTTATGTTTCATTGTCTGACTTAAACCTACATGCCTCGCAGATTCTCCATTTTCTTGGGAATGAAGGGCCGAAGACGTCAGATCCAAGCAAATATATCCGCTATATCTATAATCGGGTAATTTTGGAGAATGCAACTGTAAGGGCTGCTGCTGTTAGTACATTGGCAAAGTTTGGGGCTATGGTTGATTCGTTGAAGGTAAAGTTTTGTCACTGAAAAAACTTATGTTCATGCCCCTTATAGAGATTTTAATGTGACTGATATAACTACAACATTCTCATTTCTGGTGCAGCCCCGTATATTTGTCCTTTTGAAGCGATGTCTCTTTGACAATGATGATGAGGTGAGTTGCGATGGTGAATTGTGCTAATGTCTGACTTTTTGCAATAGTTGAAGTCTACCTCACTTTGTTTTATCCTTTTCATGCATTGAAAGATTTTTTGTTGCTTTTGGGGTTTCTTTTAGCATCATATTGCATTATTTTCATAATTTGCATCCTGTTCTATTTGTTTGGGGTTTCTGCTATCATGCAATGTTATTAATTATCCAATCCTCTGCAATTTGGTATGAAAGACTTCTTTGTTGCTTTTGGGGTTTCTTTTAGCATCATATTGCATTATTTTCATAATTTGCATCCTGTTCTATTTGTTTGGGGTTTCTGCTGTCATGCATTGTAATTAATTATCAAATCCTGTGCAATTTGGTAGATGCTGCTTCTTTCATTTGGCTCAAAGTAAGTTCTAAATTAATGGAAAAATTGGGATTTGATGTTTACCCCTGATCCTTTACTTTCGGCGGTTTCTGTCAGCTTGTGAAATAAATGATGCAAATTACCGTTCATAATAGCTTACAAGTATGTATTTCTTCGTCTCAGGTTCGTGATAGGGCTACACTTTACTTGAACACTCTTGGAGGGGATGGCACTGTAGTTGAAACTGATAGCGAAGCGAAGGAGTTCCTGTTTGGCTCATTTGATGTCCCATTGGGCAACATGGAGACGAGTTTGAAGAATTATGTGTGTATCCGTATTGGTTTTTTTTTTTCCTGTGTTATTTGTATCTGGTAATCATTTCAATGGCTTCTATCCAACAGATCCAGGAACCTTCTGAAGAACCTTTTGACATTAATGCTGTACCAAAGGAGGTCAAATCTCAACCTCTTGCAGAGAAAAAGGCTCCTGGCAAAAAGCCAACAGGATTGGGTGCTCCCCCTAGTGCTCCAACTTCTGCAGCTGATGCTTACGAAAAGACTCTTCTTTCTATTCCTGAATTTGCAAGCTTTGGAAAGCTTTTCAAGGTTATGAGATGCAATTTGAGTATAACTTGATCTGTGTAATGATTGATTGATATATTTTGCTGATCATGTACAACCTCTGTATTTTGCAAATTCAGTCATCTGCCCCGGTGGAGCTTACAGAAGCTGAAACCGAGTACGCTGTTACTGTCATCAAGCACATATTTAGCAACCATGTTGTGTTTCAGTACAACTGCACCAATACCATACCTGAGCAGTTACTAGAAAATGTAATGTCCATCTGTTTTGTTTCTGTTGTCATGTAGGCTTGTTTAGTGTATGTTCCTCTAAATCATTCTCTGTTTGCCAGGTTATTGTGGTTGTGGATTCTTCAGAAGCTGAGGAATTCGCTGAGGTCGCCTCTAAACCTCTGAGGTCACTTCCATACGATACCCCAGGGCAAACATACGTTGCTTTTGAGAAACCAGAAGGAGTTACAGCTGTTGGGAAATTCTCAAATGTATTACGCTTCATTGTCAAAGAGGTAGAAGCACCACTATAAAGCTAAACTCTTTTATGGGAGAGGGTTGAGTTTCTTTCCGTTTCAGAGTTAGTTTGCTTATTTGATTGAATTGTATTTATAGGTTGATCCATCAACTGGTGAAGCCGAAGATGATGGCGTTGAAGATGAATACCAGCTGGAGGATCTTGAAGTTGTTGCCGCAGATTACATTCTGAAAGTGGGTGTTTCCAACTTTAGAAATGCATGGGAAAGCATGGGGCCAGATTGTGAAAGGGTGGATGAATATGGTCTTGGCCCTAGAGAAAACTTGGCTGAAGCTGTTAATGCTGTTATTAATCTTCTTGGTCTTCAGCCCTGTGAGGTAAGTATTTTAGCTAATTGAACTGAGCCCTGCATGCGCGTAAGTGATGACTTTATTTACCTCTGCAGTAATTTGTGTCTCTTAGTTTAAGAGCTATGGAAGTCATGGGCCATCTATTTTTGTGAATGTAGATTGTAGAATGTAAAACTGTTTCTAAGTGAATCTAGTAATCTACAGAAGATTTAACAGTTGCATGTTCTTTTGTTTCCAGGGCACTGAAGTAGTCCCAAACAACTCAAGATCGCATACATGTTTATTATCCGGGGTATATATTGGCAACGTGAAGGTGCTTGTTCGACTATCTGTTGGAATTGATGCGCAGAAAGAGGTTGCCATGAAGTTGGCTGTCAGATCTGAGGATGAATCTGTCAGTGAAGCCATCCATGAAATAGTAGCTAGCGGCTAAGGGTTTCTGCAAGCACACAAGTCAAAAAGTAGTTGGATGAGGACTGTTCATTTGCGAAGACATTTTGGAGATCGGTTATATACGATACTGTAGAGATATATTGTCTTGATTCATCGGTTTTCTTGTTCAATTAGACGCAGAATTATAGTTAACTGTTGAAATACTTTTTCGATGTAACTTCTTATTCAATCTCAACAGACTTGAAATTATAGTTCAAAACTTCCATATTCAAGTTTTGCATGTATCCGAGATAACTCTGGTGTTTACTGGTTCCCAAGTTCAGTGTGTTCTTACTGTTTGCAACTTTGCATACATATCATTCTGTCCGGAATTAACACACATTTTCATCTACTAAAGCTTTACTTATATCTCTTGGTGTTATTGGAATCATTACTGGAAGACTGCAAAATTGAGATTTGGTCTGAAAGAATGGAGTTGTTCCTCATAAATTTATGGATTTGGTCTGCACAAACCTGATTCTTGGAACATTTGTCACTTCCATTTGGCGTAAAATCTCTTGTCAGTCCACAATAGCATTCTCTGTAGATCAAATTTTTGAACATTCTTCTTCTTCAGATGCATATGTCGCGGCATGATCCGCTTCTCCAAACTATATGCAAAGTATTGCGGAAACTCATTCAACTCATAAACACTCCTTTCCATCTCGCGCACCAGATAATCCAGCTTCGGCATCAAGTTATTCTCAACACTGTACCCAAAAATGGCCGGAAATCTCACACAAATAGCAGCCGTTTCATCCCATGAAAACCCGGCATGCCGTAAGAATTTTACTTTCTCTTCCAATTTCTGAATACGAGTGTTCAGAAGATGAGCATTCAGCTTAGTGGGCGAATTCAGATTTTGTAGACCCAGCTCTGTAAGATAATGTAGCGTGGGCTTCAAGCAGAACTGAACATGGGAGTGTAGAATTTGAGGGCAGAAATGGATGAGAGCACATGATTCTTCCTCCGAAGCAGCTAAATCATTTCTCAAGAAATTGAATACGGGTTCAACCTCATCTGGGTCGAACCGGGGAGAGAATATCTGAGGAACATGGTAAGCGATTCTCGGGAATTGGGAATCAGAGCAGCCGTGAGATTTTAGGAAATTTACAGTGGAGAGGATGTGGGATAAGGTTTCTGGGGATGGGTTTTTCTGGGGTGTTATAGCATCTGAATTAATGATTCCGATTGACTTGAGATAACGTAGATTATCATTGTAGAATGTGGAGAAAATGGGAAATGGGGAAGAAGTTTTTGAAGGTTTGGAGATCGGTATTTGAGAATTTGGTGGGTTCTTCGCCGGAGAGAAGGAGCGGAGTGGCCGGACAAGGCAAGAGTAAACCATTCCGGCGATGAACCAAAGAGCTTTGAGTGAGAGTGGTTTAGTGGTGCAATAGTAGAACGATAATGTTTAATATTTCCTCTTTTCCCTTTGTGTATTTTTTTCCTAAAACCAAAGTAATAGTCTTTTTTTTTTAGAGTTAAAATTATTTATTTTTCTCCGTTTATCATCTTACGTGATAATTTTATTACGCATAATATACTAGGAAAAAATAATGTAAATGACTGTTCTTAGTGAAAAAGAAAAAGAAATCAAATGGAGTTACTATTATTAGGGGTGTGCACGGTCGGAGTGGTCCAATTTTTAGCTAAACCATGAACCAAATCGTTGAAACGATTTAAAAAATTTTGAATCTGATTATGAAACCAGACCAAATCAATCCGTAATTACTGGTCCAGTTTCTACGGTTTTACGATTTTAATTGACTTTGGGATTTTTTTTGTCCTTTCATTTTTTTTTTTGGGGGGCAAAAAATAGAGTCTTTTCATTTTAAATTTGTAACAAAAAGAATATGACATTTTATTACCAATATATTCAACACCACACAAATCTCTAATTAAAATTAAACAACATCTAAAATATCAACCCAAAAGAAGAAAAAGTTTCTAACTAAAATTAAACAACATCCAAAATGTTAAATAAAAAAAGGGAAAAGGAAAAAAAATAATGGAATAAAAGGTGTGTGATGAGAATTGAATGGGATCACTGGAACTAAACGTAGCTAAATGGACAAGAGTTAACTATTTGAACACATTGAACTTTAGCTTACTCATACACTTAAAATATTTATGTATAAATATATATAATAATATAAACGGTCCAGTTAGTTTCAATGATAGTTTTTGAATGCTAAATCGTAAACCGAACCGTTCTTACCAGTTTTTAAATTTTGAATCTACCGGTTTAGAAATAAAATTATAAAACCGATCCAAAAACTAAACTGTGGTTTGGATTGACCGGTTTGACTGTTTTAAACCAATCCATGCACACCCCTAATTATTATCATTTGTTTTTCAATGAAAAAAAGGAATATTTTTTTTTATGGTTTTTTCATTTTGGCAGCAATTTTTATCATCAATATTTTGTCCATCCCACCACATTTTTTAAAATAATTTTAATAGAAAAAAAACTTAAAACATTAATAAGATTGAAAGTTGTAACTCGTTAGTGTTCACAAAATGATATCAATACACGTGTTTGATTTGATTTTATTTTTTAAAAGGTATAACCATGAATGAGAAAGATCATGTGTCATTTTGGCACAGATGACCCCCGGATGTTTACATCCAAAAAGTTGGGATATTTTGTTTTCTAGAAAAAATCATAACAATCCTTTCTAAATTAACGAATAGGATAAACAGAATAATCAAAGTTTTCAAAATGCGGTTGCCGTTATGTATATGACTCATGATTCCTGACAAGAAAGCAAAGATGACCGACCCTTTTTGCATAATACTCTTTCCGTAATCTATCTTATGCAAAAAATTAATTTTATTGACAATTAGTCAAAGAATATCATAATTTGTGTCTTCTTTTTCTTTTGGGTAATGCCAGAAAGTCTTTTAGAGATAGGTAAACACTCATCCTGATTATTACTTACAGTGCATTTAGTATACTCCATTTCTTCCGAGGGTTGACACATTAAATATGAAAAAGAAAAGGAAGTTATTTTAACCAGATGGCTTAAGTTCTAAGCTCTGGCAACAGATTTATTGTTCTACGCTAATGCGATGGAAATCAAGGGTGTAGCACCAACATATCTGTTCTACGCTGGGAGATCAATTGATGATCAGTAGAGCATGAAGGCTCCGGTGACTAGGGAAATTTAAGGATAAGCTCCAATTGCTCTTCCTGTGGTTCAGAAAGGAATGAAAGCTGAATTCTACCGCGAGATGTTATAAACAACCAAGGAAGCGAGAATGATAAGTTAGATCAGATAACTTTTTTTTGAAAATGAGATCAGATAATTTGTTAGTGCAGAAATCATATAATGACAGATGTATTACTTCATATGAAGAAACTAGGAATTATGCACATTAGAGGACTATAGGCTGAGTCCAGAAACAACTCTTAAAGCACAAGGGAGATCTTTCTTCTTTTCTGAGGCATTCAATGGAATTCTGGAAATTATGCAACCAAAAGAAACAGACTAATGTAAGTAAGATGCGGAAGTGAAATGAGTAATTTCACTTGTATCAAACCTTTTATTTAATCTGAAACTTTTAACTATTGCTCTAAACAACACAATCACATTGGTCATACAATGCACCAATAGATTGTTACATATCTCTACCATCTAAACTTGATGATGTACACAATCAGGAGGTCATGGGTATTGACTTCTTTTCAGCAACTTCAGAGTACCAAGATTTCCAGGCTTCGACATAATGGCCGAAAAGGTCTCTCAAAGCTGCAATATCAAAATCGACAGAGTTTAGTTAGATTTCTTGCTTTCTGTCACTTCTGGAAACAGCTTCATGAACAGCTTCATGTTGATTTGCATTTAAACAAAAAATGGAATACATGCATTTTGCTGAAAGTATGATGCCAAGTTGCAAGCCTAAAGAAAATTATTAAATGAATCTAGAAGTATATAACTATGCACCCTGAAAAAATATTTTAATCACGGAGGAAACTCTTTCATTAAAGCAGAGAGGACGATAGGGAAATTTACTTAGCAGGTGTTCTAAATGTAGTGGCATGCAATGTTGGGGAAATTTCCGTTGCATCTAAATATAGACCAAAAAGTACAACAAATTGCATCTAAAACATGCTTCGGCAGAAAAAGATTTTGGAAGAAACCTGCAGTCTCACCAAAGTGCAATCCAATGATATAAATTTAAGGAAGGTTTTCTAACTAGGAACCTTGGTTATGATACTGAGGACGGTAAGCAGCTGCTAGATTTTCCCAATCATGATGCCTCTTTGGTTGACCATCATCAGAAACACCTGCTTGGGGCACATTTACTGGCGCAAAAGGACCAAATCGGTAGCTCAAGTTGCTGGTTTTAGAATCGTTTTCTACAGGTTCACTTTTTACTTGACATTGCACCTTCATGCCCTTGTCTGAAATTCCTTCCGCTCCTTCCGCTTTACTTCTTTTAAAATTGAAATTCGTGATATCCGTCCCAAATGCCCTTTTCTTTGAATGATCAAAAGGCAAGGGATCAGCTTGAATTTCAAATTTTCCACTCCTACCCAACCATCTGAATGCAGGTTTCCTTGTGTCTGGATGATGAGTCTACATTGCAAACAAACACGATGCTCGAGTCAGATAATCATTAGATTTTCTGAATGTTACATGATTTGGAATCTATAGATCATTTAGAGTCACATAATTTAACCCAATGCAGATTGCTAGGTTTCTTTTAACATTCTAATACTCAAGAGATAAATGGATCAATCACTAGATGAAGTTCATGTAAGCCCAAACCATTAAGATGTCATCAACCTATAGCCCATATCTACACATCCTTAACAAATTAGACACAAAAGGATTGTGACATTTCTTTCTAGTATCATTTCAAGTATATACATATACAAAAAGGTAAATGATCACCTTCTCGATGAAGTTCATTGAAGCCAAGACATTGGCAATATCATAGAGTCGTCTTACTTTACCTGCATGATTTAGGCAATAATGAGTTAAATGCTACCATCATCATCTCTGTAGCAAATGCAATAGATAGTGTGTTTAAAAGAAGTACTTCTGGTCATTGCTGGATCCTTTCCATTTTTCAACAATATCTTTGCAGCATCATCAAGAGAAATCATGTCCATCTACAAGATCAGGGAGTCCAACAATAAATACTAATAACATACACAAAGCTATGATATACTACATATGATATGAATTTTATATCAAAATGGTTTCACTTACATCCATACAAAGAAAGAGCTTAACAAAATTCTGTGTGAGCAATGACAGAGATTTCTCTTTTCTTGTGTCAGCTGGAGCAAAAAAGAATGCACAATCAATAAAAAATTCTGGCGTAAAACCAAAATCAAGCTGGTGAATCAATGCCTACAGACCCATATAAACAGGTATTCAATAGTAAAAGATTAGCAATTACCAATTCTGGATGAACCTGATAATTTTGAACCCGAAACGGAATTAGATTTATCATTCTGGCTTGATGAATTAGGGTTTGAGCTTGTCTCATCGTCTTCATCATCTGAGATCTAAACTAGCATGAAATTAAAAAACCATCCAACAACCCAACTTATGCAGAAACAGAAAAGAACAATTAATCAATTGGGCAAACATACTTTCAGGGAAGAGCTACCATCATTCCCATTCTCATTCTTCAGGCACAATCCCTCTTTCTGCAGCATCATGATAATTAATCAAGCATTTATTTCATATTCATCCTTGCCTTAAGAGTAACAGAATATGAAAAGCAGGCTCACCTTTAGAACTTGCAAGGCTGTCGGAATTGCACTAAAACCGTTCCAAGTATACCGATTTTTTGCCTTTCTTTGAAGAACCTAAATCAACCACAAACCCAAATATCAATTCGAGACTCTTCTCATAAATGACAATATCCAACAATTGAAGTTTCATACTATCTACGGAAGCAAAAAAAATAAAATATAATCTTACCCCAACACTCTCCAATACATTCACTATATCATAGATCCGCCTCCTTTCAACACCTAAATTCCATCCAAACGAAGAGGGGGAAGGTTAAAATCCCCAGAATAAAAAAAAAAGCCCAAAAATTAAAAACCCCAAGAGATAAGCCTGTGAAGGAAATTGAAATGGGATTCGCACCTAAACGTGAAGCAGCATCATCAAGTCCAATTGTTTCCACACCTTCCCTATTGTACAAGCTTATAAAGCTGCAATACAATCAAAACAAAATAAATAAAAGTTAGCCAAAACCCAGAAAAGAACTTCAAGAACCGAATCAAATTAAGCTAATTAGACCAACATTACAGGGGGAAGAAAGCAAAAAACCTACTTAAATCGAAGAAAAGAAAAAGAAAAGAAGCAGTACTTGGAGCATAAGAGGCCGAGGGATTTCTGTTTCCGGCAATAAATCTGTTCAGATCCAGCTTCTCTGGGAGGAAATTCCATGACTAGATCAAAAATCCCAGATCAAGATTTGGGAGGTAGACGGAGATTTCAAATGAAGGGAAAGTGGGGGAGAGCGTGTGTAGGAAACTCGCACTGCGTGACTGTGTGGAGAAGGAACCCGTTAAAAGGAATAGAAGAAGGGGGAAAAAGAGGGGTTTTTTTGGGGGGCTTTTGTTGACTTTGGCGGGTTGGGAGTTTTGGTTTTTGGGCGGATGGCGGATCGAATGGGCGGTGAGACAGTGATTTTGAAAGTTTGAAAGAAGCGGGAATTTGATTTTCAGTGGATAACATTTAATTACAGTACCTTTATTTTTAAATTACTTTCCTTTTGGCAGATTTTTAACTTTATTATTTTGGGTTTGGTAATTAAATATATAGAGCGCGGGTGTCGGATCCAGCGAGGATCGACATGGGTGAAAGGAGAAAATTAAAGGAAAACGGTAAAGAAAATAATAAAGTTCAACTCAATTCTTCGCTGCCTGATACAAATGGAGAAGACGACCATTTATGCCGTCTGATTTCCCAAACTATTACAAAATTACAACTAAACCCCTACATTTATAACTAATTCTAAACAATACCTCCAGTTCATGACAAATCTCTCCCGCTAATTTAAGTCTTGTCCTCAATATTTTAATCATTAAATTGAATCTACACAAATGATACTCAATATAGCTTTCATTTCTAGAACCTCAAAGAAGAAGACATCCATTACTCTTCGAATTAGAAGCATTTGGAGACCAAGAAGTTGCTGCCAAAACTCCAAAGTTGATGAGTAGAAAGTTCCTGGAATATTTTCACGAGGAAAACACTTAAAAGCATATGCGCACTTCATTTTGCAAAACATGGTGCCTCCTTGGAATATTGTCATAGTCTTGTCCTATGGTTTTTGAAGTCTCTGCTCTTGAATGTTTCTGATAATGCACAGATGTAGGACCCAAGAACTACAAGCAGTAAGATGAAATAGGTGCATAATAACATTCTGATCATCATAAATATTTGAAAGGCTGGGCATAGTGATATAGGAACAAATGATACTGAAGTAGTCCTCTCTCTTCACTTCCTGGGAACCAATGCTAAAGTTTCTCTGAAGCTCCAGTTGAATATCAATATTCGATCCTTGAATCACAACAATCATACAATTAGAATCACCTGCAAGGGTAACATTCATACCTGGATGAAGTAGTGATTTTGAATGATCTGCCGTAGGTAACATCTTCGTTGTGCAAAGAAACTCCTCAAGAACAGGAATCAATTTTCCTCTAACATTGCTATCTCCCCTAAAACATGTCTTCTCAACAATCCATGATTTGGAAATATCATTATCAATCCAGATTTCTAAATCACTGAAATTGATATCATGGAATAGAACCATATGGTTAACCAAAGTCCCAAAGGTCAGAACACAAACATTTAGGTTCGTGGCAAGCTGCTCTAATATATTAAAACTCCAGAAATGACTAAGATAGACAACTCCTTTCTTTAAAGAATCGATGTCCTCAAGGTTCCAACACCCATAAAGAACTTCAGCCTTTCACATGGATGTAAATTCCTTCAAATTTGCAGACCAACAAATAAATCTCAATAAGGAGTTCTCACACAGAGAGTTACCAAGATAATAATCAGTCAGACAAGAATTAATACTTGTAACCGTAGAACCATACTCCCCATCATTGTCCATTCCATTTATGATGTTAGCAATACAGGGAATATTTTTAAACACACACAGATGTTGTAGACCATCATCATGGGAACAAGTCTCAACAAAAAATAGAACAGAGGACAAACAAATCTCATATTGAGATTCCATTGCATCAATAAAGATTATCAAGAATAAGCCCCTTCCCAGAATTATGACCTCGAAATGCCCACCAACACCAAGTTTTAATTGATCACTGTGACTCATAGGTAGTACTTGAAACCGAAGTTTTTTAAGTTCTTCTGAAGCAATACCAACCTTAAAACAAATGATCCTCAAATCCCATGACTTGTTCCTCTTGTTGATGTTACTGATTCTAATTTTTCCAAATCACATTCACCATACTTAAAATAACATTTCAGGAATTGTCATAGCAACCAAACCATTATCACACAAAGCATGATGAGAATGCACAACTCCCGTCCCCTTAAAAGTATCATTGTCCTCAAGGAATAGGAAAAAATGAAAAATTGCTATCCACGGACCTTCAGTACCGCATTCTAACATGTGATAACTCAGGATTGTGACACATGTGGACAAGTAAAGTTGCAGTATTGACCCCAGAGCAATGCACCAGAAAAACGAATCCATAGAATGATATTCAAAACCATCACCTGTACTTCTAATTTCTCAAGAACCATCCAAGAAAGTATCGTCATTAGCATTTTCGAGAGGCAAGGAGGGTGTCCACAATCTTCAACTTTTGGTCTTAAAACAATCTTGAAATTGAAACCACAAGTGCCTTCCACTGAATAGCTCACACACAAAAATAATTAGCTCCAATACGATTTCCTCGGAATATCTCTTATAGAGCTTGTCAAAGGTAGTACACTTAGTAGACAATTTCCTGATCACTTCTTCAAAAACTCCCGTAGATACCTCCCCTTTCAACTGAGAGGTGCCGAACACCACCACCATTTCCACCTCATTTTCTGGTATCTTAGAATATGAACTAAGATCAGTTTTTAAACAAAAAGCATTTTCATCCCATGGGACAAGAATAAGAAACTCTTTATCATTAATAAACTCAACACTACCTCCTTTGAATGCAGTCACCCTATTCACCCATGATTTAAGACATCTAACAGCTTGAATAAACCTTATCACAATAATCCCAAATGCTGGAAATATGATCACACAATAATCTCCATAGAACCACTTATTCTCAGTCCCATTATAACCCTTAACAGACTCCTTCATCCAAGTTTCACAAACAGCAGCTATATGCACAATTTCATCACCCAAAAATTCAAGAGAAATAACACCAAAACAATCATTATGCTCAATTAGATCAATCACCAAATCATTAGCAAAATGATTTCCTCCTGGTTCAATTGCAATTAACTTCACAAACAGAAGTTCCCTATCCACAAGCTCATTCATGCATATTACACCAGTAGCATTCATTTTAACAAGGTCAGCAACAAAAAATTCCAAAGAAGCATCATAATCATTAGCACCCTTCAACAATTCATCATTAATCAGAAAATCATCAACAAGATTTTCTAAAGGAGTATTAACATCATCAGCAGCATAAGAATACTCTAGTTCATTAGCAAGCAAGTCATCAACCATCACAATTGAATCATCTTCTAAATCCTCTAAATTTTCATCATGAGAGTGCATGATTGATTCGTCATTAGTTGAAAGCATATAATCACCACCAGACTTAGCACAAACAAAATCATCATCAGAATAAATCATTTCACCCTCACCAGTCAACATCATCCATCAGGAATCCATAATCATTTACCCCTTTCAAATACTCAGAATCAACATCCAAATACTTATCAATGGGAGTTAAACTTTCATCAACCAATTAAAGAAGGCAGAGCCATCCTCTTCATTCAAAATTACAGATCAAACATCACTGGATTATCACCAAAATTCAACAACAAACCATCATCATCAGTAAAATCAATCAGTTTATCATCAATTTGCAAACCGAGAGATATACATCCTTCCTCATATTTTTCTAGGACAGTCAGTGATGAATCTTCTTGGCTTAATGCATTCTCCAACCCCGTTTCACGAGATTCCATTCCTTCCAAGTCTTCAGTAGAGCCAAATTCTTTGATCAAACACTCTGAACAGCTCTCCCACGAGTTCCACATTTCTTGATCATTCTCGCAGGCCTTAAACCAGGTCAGTGCACTATCCTGCAAATAAAACTTAATCTCATACAGGTTGTCTTCCCAATATGTAATTCCAACCTAAGTGAAAAATTGGTTCCAAACCCTTAGCCAATGACGAGGATTTTTTTTCCGTAAAAATCTGAGAGATCCTCGTCTAAAATTATAGATTCATCATCGGCAGTAATTAACTCAGAAGATTCTGTTAACGATGGGAAAAGAGGAATTGCCGGGGTGACAAGAATCGACATCTCCATCAGAAAATTGACCGGCTCTTGCTCTTCCGACTCTTTACCGTCAAAACGACAAATGAATTTCTCAGAGAAATCACTCCAAGACAACTGCTCGTTCTCAACCATGAAAGCTTGATACCAATTTGAGCAACTCCAACTAACAATTGCTGAAGATATTTGAATCTGTCTGAGTTCAGAATCGAAAGCCGAGAGCAGAAGCAATCGAAATATTGCAACCAATTCTCGACATCTTGTTCCCCTCCAAACTCCCGTGGAAATCTCATATCATCATCGGCGAAAGAAATGACAACTTCCGGTGACTCCACTGTCGTGATGACGTCGAATTCGTCACTAACCTTCGCCATTGATTTAGGCCAAAGACTGACCAACGCTAATTCCAATTGAGGATTTTCCGGCCAAGGATTGCTTGGCTATGATTCAGGCTGAGGATTGCTCGGCTCTGATACCACTTTGTCAGATCCGGCGAGGGTTGTCATGGTTGCAAGGAGAAAATTAAAGGAAAACGGTAAAGAAAATAATAAAATTCAACTCAATTCTTGGATGCTTAATACAAATGGAGAAGACGACCATTTATGTCGTCTGATTTCCCAAACTATTACAAAATTGCAACTAAGCCCCTACATTTATAACTAATTCTAAACAAAACCTCCAATTCATGACAACAGGCGTGGCCAGAATGATTTGGATTTACTGCTTTGGGCTTTGGGTTAAAACATGTACGAACAATAGGGATGGCTTGGGGGAATAACGGCAAATAATAACAAGCACCTAGGTACACTTTGCAAGGCGTACCTCATGGGCATGTGTAATACACTCCTTCTACACAAGTGAAGTTTTTAGTCCGGATTTTAAGACACCACACGCGCATTAAATTCTCCAAATCTTATTCCTTTTTTTTAGCACACGTTTAATTTCAAACTGATATTTTTTTTAATGCTTATCCCATTAACTTTTATATTATTTTATTTCATAAGGTTTTTTTTTTTGTTAAAATGATGGATTTTATTTTTGGTAAAACTGGACATGTGTACGAGTAAATTTATGAATGAGTAACAATATTCACAAAGATGAATAACGATGCAAATCTTGATCAATAATGATCCCATTCTAGATGAATAACAATACTAAAATGAAGAATATATGTAGATTTTGCAAGATGAATGATTGTATTTTAATAAATGAATAATATATCGTTAGTGGATGAATAATACACAACATAATGAATAGCTTTGATTAAGAAAAGTAACAAAAGTATATTTTACGATGAGATTGTCAGCAACTAAGCTAAAAAAATTCTAATTATGTAGTATACTATATCAAAATTGAACAGGAAAACTAGTCATTGTTTTTAACATATAAGGTCTTGAAAGATCCGCCGATGCTTGATACGTTTATGTTGATTGTTTGTTTTCAGCAACTCTAGCAAATATTTGATTCGCGATCGATCGAGTTCATTTTGACGAGCATTTTTTTGCTGCTGATCAAACAAAAACAACATACAATATGTGAGATTTCACATTCATTCAAAACTCTGTTAATCATCAATAACAAGGCTATTGAAGATGAATAATCATCTTAAAAATAATGAATAATCATTAAAACTATATAACATGCCAGGTTAATATGATGAATAACCATTACATACTAAATGAATAACTAATGCTGAATACCTTGACAGATATGACAAATTATCATGTTTTACTTATTAAAATCAGAAAATGTAGTGTATTAGGATAATAAATTCATTAGGAGGAATACTTATAGTTTTAATGATGAATAACTATATCTATGTATATGCATAGGTCATTCGAGCAATATGTTGAACATACAAATAGATGAATAACCAAATATTACGGATGAATATGACCAAAATATACATGTTCCATTTATCCACTCGGATGAATAACAATTAATAGAAAAAGAATAACAATCACATAACATAATTATTATGATGAATAACCCTTTATTATCGATGAATAATGGCAGGGTAACTGCTGAATAATGAACAGATATGGAACCCTTCCAAAATTAACAACCAATGGATGAACAAATCTAACAAATTGGTGAACAACCATTTATAATCGAATGCAGAGACCTTAGATATGCATAACCTAACCAAAAAACTAAATATGAATAACCAGCTAATAACACAATTATTATGATGAATCTACTAGTTTCAAAGATGAATATCAAATACGAACTAATGAATAATGTCCGGATCTATCAGTCTTTTCTAAAACCAACAATAGAACGATGAAAATAACTTAAAAATTGATGAACAAAAATCTATATTCGAATGCACATACCTCATATCTACATAACCCAATAAAAAAAAATCAATTGTTGAAGAGATGAAAACCCAATCATAAACCTCTGGCGATTCAAAAAATTTGAATTTTGTTCTTTTTCGTAAGAGATCTAAATGCATAAATCTTTGACAATTCATTGAACGAGTTGGAACTGGAAATTTGAAATTACCAATCAAAGATTTTGAGAATTTCAAACAAAATTCACCGGACAAAACACAAAACAGATGAATAATCTCAAATCTCACCATAATTTTCATATTCAACAGCGTATATTGTAACGAAACTCACGGGATTTGATGACAATCGGATTCCGTCTTCAAAAATACCGCCAACGAGAGGTTTGGATGCCAAATCATTGCAGAGAATATTTTGTTCTTTAGATTTTTAGTTTGAGACGTCTTTAGATTGAAATAGGAAGTTGGATGGATATGATTAATGATGGCTGAAAATTAGGAGAGATATTAGGAAATTAAAAATTTGAAAAATCTTTTTTTTACCCTCTTTTTGGGCACGTGGTATTCACCTTAAGGTGCACCTAGGTGCTCTATATTATAACTGGGGGAATAACTGAATAGGTAAATTTAGACGGATAAATAACTGTGGCAATAACATATTTTACGAATTTTTTTACGTCTCAATTTTGTTAATTATCCGCATTACTATCCCATAAAATGTAGTACACCCTCCGTCCCAAAATTATTGTTCAGTTTGGATTTTTTACTTTTACTACAATTAGAACTAAAACTAAAAATCTAAATTGGACAATAATTTTGGGACGGAAAGAATAATATATATATTCCTCTTATAAAACAGATTAATTCTTTCAATATGAAAAGAATATTACTAATAGTGGACAAATTAAAACACATGATTGCATATACTTTTTTGAAGAGTGAGATGTATATATTATTATACTATACATGTATGCTTTCAAATATATTTGCATTTGCTGGCTCAAACATCATCGTTAGAGTGTAAATTTTATATCAAAATACCAAATTTAGTGTTTTGGTGTCTTGGTTGGAGATGCTCTAAAACCAAGATACCAAAATGCTATTTGGTATTAGTGTTTTGGTGTAAAGCTTGCACTTCAACGAAAATACTAAGGTCTTATTTGGACAATGGTTTGTTTTAGTTTTTGATTTGAATTTGAGATGTGGTTTGAGAGAAAATGTAAAAAGTTGTTTGGGTAGTATTTTAAATAAAATAATAATATTTTTACACCACCATCGGACCACCTCCACCACCGGCGCCACTGCTGGACCGCCCACCGCCGCCGTCAGACCGCCTCCCACCGGCGACCGACTGGCCGGTTTCCAGCCGATTCGCTGGAATCCGTCCGGCCGGTAGCCGGCTGGTGGCTGCCCGGCGGCGGTCCGGCGGTGGACTGTGGCGGCGGAGGTGGTCAGGTGGTGGTGTAAAAAAATGGTGTAAAAATAATGCTTGAAATAAATTTTAAAAAGTAAATTAAAAAGTTGTTTGAATAGTATTGGTTTTTGTGTTTGAGATAGGTTTTAAGAGGTATAATGAGACAAAATGTAAAATGAAATGTTGGCAAAACAAGCCCTAAATCGCTGCACCATTTTGATGCAATGAATAGTGTAACACCAGATTTGGTATAAATTATCCATTAATATATTCTTAGAGCATCTTTAGTGATGGTTAATAAAAAGTAAATTACCATTTTATTACACTATTCACCATTACATGGAGTGTAAGAAATTGGGATGGTGTAAGAATTCTTACACTGTTGAATACATGTTTTTGTGAGCCATCATGTAATTAATGCAAATTATCATTTTTTTAATTTTTTAAAATGATTAAAAAATTAACAATTGGCTCGATTGTGAGTACATGATCATAATACTGAATTAATTATATGACACTTTGATAGTGTAAGATCAATGTAGGAAAAAGTGTAATAAAAATGTAATATGGCAAAATGATAATTTGACATGTTATTATACCCACAATAGTGTAAACCATGGTGGATGCTCTTAGTGCACTATCGTTTTACTTTGATCTAAGTATGTCTTTCTATGTAATTAAACTTGTAAAATGAATTATATTGTGAAAGTTATATCATATTAAATAAATTGTTGAGATCTTCAAAATAAGACCTGTATTGAATATAAAAATTAATTTTTAGTTATTATTGAAATTGAATATAAGACAAATTTGAAAAAAAAATTAATACTTCTATAATCAAATAAAAAACGATTATAAGAAACAAAGTTCACAAAATTAGCAACAAATTCCAAAATTTTAATTAACCATACAAATAAAATTTAAACTAAAACATTTAATATTCAGACCTTTTGGTGCATCAAAGTTGGAGTCAAAGAACTTTGGTGTAAAAAGATACTTAGAATATTCTATTTATGCATTAAATTTAATGCAAATTATAGTGCTATGGTTGGAGATACTCTTACACTAGATTTGTTGTAAATTGTCCATTACACTATTTTTAGTGCACTATCTTTTTCACTTTGATCTAAATATATGCTTGCCATTTATTTAAACTTGTAAACGAATTATGATGTGAAAATTATATCATATTAAATATTTTGTTGAGATCTTCAAAATAACATATTGAATATAAAATTTATTTTTTAAAAGACCAATTTTTAGTTATTATTAAAATTGAATATGAAACAAAATTGAAAAACAAATTTGATACTTCTACAATTAAACAAAAAGTGATTATAAAAAAAATTCACAAAATTATTACCAAATTACAAGATTTTAATTAACCTAACAAATAAAATTTAAACTAAAAATATTTAATATTTAGACCTTTGGTGCATCAAGGTTTGAGTGCAAAGAACTTTGGTGTAAAAAAGATACTTGGAACATTATATTTCTGCACCAAATTTGGTGCAAATTATAGTGAAATGGTTAGAGATGCTCTTATGGTATATGTATTAACAAAAATATATTATTTATAAGAGATAACTGAATTGTGTATCAGAGAGTGTTAATAGAAAAGTGTAATAGAGAGTATTCCATTTGAATTTTGGTATTTTTATTTGAAA